TCCACTTCACAACATTAACGAAATAACTTTAGGTAAAAAGATATGTCCACCACTTCACAACATTAATGAAATAACTTTAGGTAAAAAGATATGTTCACCACATCAGGTTAATGAAATAACTTTATGTAAAAAGGTATGTCCACCACTTCACAACATTAATGAAATAACTTTAGGTAAAAAGATATGTTCACCACATCAGGTTAATGAAATAACTTTATGTAAAAAGGTATGTCCACCACTTCACAACATTAATGAAATAACTTTATGTTAAAAGATATGTCCACCACATCAGGTTAACGAAATAACTTTATGTAAAAAGGTATGTCCACCACATCAGGTTAATGAAATAACTTTATGTTAACAGATATTAACATTGTCTCACAATTCTTATTCAGATGAGATAAACTTGTAACAATATATTGTTTACAACAGTGTTATAACAATATGATAAACCAAACATCCACAAGAGTGTTTGATAAATATCAAAATATTTAGTATATTATTATACAGATAATTACTACAAGCAATGCATTCATACACAGACTCAACAAAATTGCCAAACAGTAAATTTCAGGTGATTTATTAAAAGTTTGAATGTTAACACCCTTCGGTTCCAATTTTTAGACTAATACTAAAATTGAATGTTCTCTGTGCAATTAAAAACAAGTTACAGAAGAAGCTAAGCCTTGTCACTTTCCTTCCAGTGATTTAACTGTTACTTCATTACTCTACACTATATGACAAAGAGTTTAAATTTTCTGTAAAATCCAACATGGCCAACTTCTCAAACAATAGTCTTAGTTTCTAATTATTACATATATTGAAACCATAATACTAGTAAACACATACCTTATATGTAACCACTTGAACTCTATGTGTATTGTTAGCATCAACCCACTAGCAACAGCTATTTTTAATGTGCCTTTTTAAAGATATAAATCACAAATAAAATAGATCCTACTACAATACTTCTGTGATATTTCATGGAAGGTTTACGCACTTACATTTACACAGACCTGTTGTTGTGTTTTTGAAAAGAAACTTTCTGTCTATTGGATAATTTCAGAACCTATGTTTGTAGATTTTCATCTTACTTAACAGTATCGTGTATGAAATTCCAACAAGTTTATCTGCCTTTCATTTTAATAACTGTAGTGCAGTAGTTCTTACAAATACAAGTTACTTGCTGCTAAGAATGTTATTTACTTTGGAGTTAACACCTCCTCTCTCACTTTATTATTTATATGTAATACTTGTATGACACTGTCAGAGGTCTATAATTTTCTGGTTCCCTTCTGTTTAATTTTTCTTCTTAAATAAAACTTATATTTTCTATAGTTTTAAGACAGATCCTGATTCTAAGGGTTTGTTGAAGATAAATTCTAGAAGTGTACACAATGTTTTGCAAGTAATTTTGGCATCTTCGGACACCTGTCATCTGGTCAACATGACCTACCGATCTTGTAATGTAATGTAAATGTAACTTCTTCATTTCTATTTTAAACTTTAATTCTTAAATTAAAGGCACTTACTACACTGTACATTAGGCGTCTTGCTACGAGGCTCATTTACCAAGCCACTGAAAAATTCACTGTTTGCGTTGTTTAACAAATACATTACAGAAAAGCTAAACCTAGTTCCAAGGGCTACGCTAACGCTATGCATGTTAATAACAGTATACAAATTAACCCTAACTAGGATATATAAATATACTATACCAAATACAGCCTAGGCTCGAGGCTCGGCGTAACTCCTATTGTATTAAAAAATACAAATAATCAATAATCTCGACGATAAACGCACCATTACAGATTTACCCATCTAGGTTATTTCTAAGATTCTTATACACTAAAAAGTAACACAGAATAATTGTCGTACACCTACCTGAAAAGAATTTTCAAAATCATCTACTATTCCTTGTCCCGACGTCCCTGTAGGAGCAGCCATGTTATCTATATATTTTGTTTAATACTAGATGGAGCCATAAAATAAGAAGCGTTTGATTTATAATAACATTTATTAATATTTTTACTCACTTGTTCATTTTAAATGATGTAGTTTATAATGATATATTCGAATATATTTTACATCGTATGGATTTTCAATTACGACCCTTTATTAAACATGATTACTATAAAATAAGATGAATGAACAAGAGATAATATGGGTTTATATTTTAAGTGTAGTCAAGACTTTGCTGTTTGAAATGCAAATACTGTATATTCGTGTTTATTATCTTATTTTAATTGTTTGATGTTAAGCACAAAGCTACACCACCAAGCCATCACGGGTATCGAAACCTGGTTTCTAGCGGTAAAAGTCCGCAGACATGCCGGTGTGGCACTGGGGACCCTAAATTCTATATTTTAAAAGTATAAAACATTTTCAATGCTTTTCAAGGTATATTAATTTTTCCAATTGAAGAAAAACATTGCAAACCTTAGATGCGTTTTTAAAATATACGCTTAAAAACATTTGAGTACTTGTTTCTTTGAATATATAACTAATGCTTCTCGAAGATCACACGAATATTTGCGGATATTTTATCTGTTTATCTTGAATCGGATGGTTTAATTATTTTTATTTCATACCGGCGATATTATTCTACTCTAGTTTACGAAATACAAATAATCCTAAGATTTTGCTCTTTACTTAGATGAAATTAAGGCATAAGCATTTATCATGTATTATGAAGCCTCGTGTGTTAAAGTAGATAGAATAAGAAATTTCTTTATTTTTATTTTCTGAAATAACTAAATACACATTTCTAATAAATTGGCATTGTCTTATCTTGTTTGCAGTTAAGCATAATGCTACACAATGAGCTATCTGTGCTGTTCACACCATGGGTACCGAAACCTGGTTTTTAGTATTATACGTCTTCAGCCTTACCGCTGTTCTAATAGGGGGCTTGACAATGTTTTGATAAAGGAGAAAAGTTTCAAGAGATGGCGATAGCGTCGTTAACATTTTGTGTGAATGTTTATATTATGCGGTTATTAAATCACACAGTTTCACGCAGTATTTATGACATATTTCGTTCTGCCTCGCATTAAATTCTTGTAATTATATTTCCTTCTATTTGATTATGAACAAATTAATATCGTCTTCAGATCAGAGAAAACTAGTAACTTAGATCAAAAATGAAAATAACAACAGACCGGTTATAGAGCATAACTAACTAAATATGCTTTCCTCACATGCTTATGCATTATATATATATATATATATATATTACAGATTTCTTTTCTTTCTCACCAAACAGTATGATTCCTTTCTTGTTCATCAATTTTCTATTGACAAAACCAGTTTTCCTCTAAATCAGAAAAAAAATGACTGACCACATTCCTAACGAAAATCTCATTCTACATTGCATGTCCTATGAGTTTCATTAAGGTAACAAGGCGATAGATGGGACCAAAAACATGTGTGGGGTTTATAAAGATGCTTTAAGTGTCCGCAAATGCCAGCTGTGGTTCAGAGAATTTAGGTCAGGTGATTTTGATCGTTCAGATTAGCATCGTTCAGGGAGACCAGTAGAGTTAGACAATGACCTCCTAAGGTTGGACGTTGAGTGAGACCCTTGTCAAACCATCCAACAGTTGGCAGAAAAACATAATTATTCTTGGTTTAGCGTTCCAGAACATCTTAAATAGATCGGGAAGATCAATAGACAAGGAATTTGGGTTTCACACAAACTGTCAGATGACAGCAAAGTCCAGCGCATAACGATTTGCAAATCATTTGTAACCAGACATGAGAAAGAACCGGTTCTTTATCGGGTTGTCACAGGAGATGAGAAATGGGTCATTTATGTCAACACCAAGCGCAAGAATCAATAGCTTAGTCCTGGCCTGAACCCAATTCCGACAGCCAATCCAGGTCTACACCCGCAGAAAGTCTTCTTGCCCGTTTGGTGGGAAAGAGTTGGTATAATTCACTTTGAGTTATTGAAATCGAACCAGACTATAACTGCATACCTTCATTGTCAACAACTGCACCGCTTGCACCAGGCTCTCATTTCAAAACGTCCAGATCAAAGATTTGGATTAGGAAGTCCTACCTCACTCACCATACTCTCTTGGCGTTCCTCCTTCAGATTACCATTTATTCAGATCTATCCAGCACTTTCTCAGTGATAAAACCTTCAGAAATATTGATAGCATCAAAACTGCTCTCTCAGAATAATTCTTTGTCTTAAAGGAAGCTTCCTTCCATCAATGAGGAATTGAAAGATGGCACATTTTTCTTTCATAATTATGGGGGTTATGTAACTGATTGAAAAAACAAACCTTGAAAAAAGATGTTTTACTGTATAAGGAAAGAAACGACATTATTTTCCGTTAACCTTAATGTACATAATAATTAAATAGTTGGTCCGATATATAATATGGACAAATGATTTAGGCCCAAATCGTAACATTATTCACACACCTAAGTTATTTTAGATTGATTTATTGGTGACTGAAAAGGACTTTAAAACCCCGTAATTATTAAATACAAAACACCGTTTATAAGAGACCTAACTTTATTTCCTTGCTGTGCTAGCCCATAGAATCCGGGTTTCGATACCTGTGGTGGGCAGAGCACAGATAGCCCATTGTGTAGCTTTGTGCTTAACTTCAAAAACAATAGTACTAGCCCAAGCTATGCTGATGAGCCTTAAACAAGCGAAACTGCAGTCCACAGCAGAGGGTACAGCCAATCAGAAAAAGTATTAAGCCTCTACGTCACAGATTCTCTTTTCAATTTTACCTTTAGTGAGACATAAGTCGTGACAATATTCACACACCTAAATTATTTTAGGTTACCTTACTGGTGATTGAATAGGATTTTTGTTTGTTCGTAGTTAAGCACGAAGCTACACATTGGGCTGTCTGTGCTCTGCCCACCACGGGTATCGAAACCCTGTTTCTAGCGTTGTAATGGGGCTGAAAACCCCTATAAATTAAAACGCATTATTCCATCAGTTGTCTATCCTCGTTGTTAACGATATTTTCGGCCGTAATCCTAATAATATCTAACGAGATTCAGCAGGCTCAGAAGATTTAGGTTAGTCCTAAATCCATATACCAAGCTAACAATACAAAGTTATCTCTATAATAAAAAATATAATGATACAAAATAATAAAACTAGATATATTCAA